AAAAACCCTAGAATCCCTATGATTCCTATTAGTAACAAAAGGAGTCTTCTACCAAGACCTAACTGTTCTGAATGTAGTCTTCTACCAAGACCTAACTGTGTTACTATTATTATCATTATAAGAAATTTTATCCTTTGGTACTAGGATACGTAAATATAATTCACCTCATTGGTTATGTGAATGAGTCACAAGATAAAGGTAATAATACAACTAACCTGAATATTACCCTTTGGTACTAGGGTAACTAACATTGTTAACTTTAAGACATCCGTAGACGTACTCTTACCTCTGTTGCTAACAGCTGGGTATAGGAATAGTTAATCCCTTAATCGTATACCTGTAATGGTACCAACCGTTGACATCCGTGGATGTACTTTCACCTCTGTAGCTAACAGAGATTTTAGGAATGGTCAATCCCACAACTGTATCCTTGGGTACTAGGATATTATATCCATTCTATCTCATCGATTATGTGATTGTATCACAAGGTAAAGGTAAGAATGCGGATTTCATAACAATATCTATACATATAAAATGTAACGATAACTCGTCATATATTATCTACGTAAGCGTAATCATGTAAAGGAAATCAACTAAATGTACTTATGTAAATGTACTCATGTAAGCGTACTCATGTAAGTGTAATCATGTAAAAGTAATCATGTATATGTACTTATGTAAATGTGCTAGCTGTAACATGTGTTCTCTCATTATCTAGCAAGTATTGACTCATGAATGAACTGACTCATTGTATGTTATTGCGTTCTAGTAATGGTTCTAGTATCTTCCTAAACTACCCATATGGTAGTTTACTAGTAATCTATTTGTTAAGTATGGACATGGATGTATACCCTTGCTAACCAAGGGCATATATTGAACTGGAAGGACCTTTTATAACTATATATGTACACATGATATATAACTAATATTTAAACGACTGTCGGACGGTTACCCGATATCCCACCAGACCACATCTCAAGGCGCGAAAAGGAAATAGGGTGGATAGCCTTCCTAAGTCTTTTAAACATTTCTTATATAACTATACATATAGAGGCATGCAATTTATAATATAAAAGCATAAATAAATTTTGTAAGACATTTGAAACATAAATATTAGTTTAAGAAAAGATCGACTTGATGTCAATCTATAAAACAATTTGCAGGCATAAGTTTAATAAAACAGTTTAAGTATAAGGAAACATTTGTTTGAAACACAGTTGTAAATAAGTTTGAAAGGTAATGTACGGAGTAAGATGTACAGTGTAATAAGGAGTTTAAAACATATAAAATGTTTATAAAAATCATTTGAAGGAAACTGTTTGGTAAAACGGCTAATGAGTAGCCAAATCATTTGAATGCTGTATGTTAATCACATGTGATTAACGTAATAAGTATATAATTCTACTTACTAATCACTTGTGATTGACATAATAAGAAGCATGATTCTACTTGTATCCCCCCATAAAACATTTAAAAATAGTTTAAAACATTAGTTCAGGGGTATGAACTCACCTGCAGTAAGTGACTGGAATTGAACGGGCTGTTATCGTACGGAAGGATCGGACAAGTGCTTGGTGCCAAGTGAAGGCTTAGACACACACAATGATCCTAATTACATATGAAGATATATGTATATAAATAATTATATATTTAATCACTAATTATACAAGTATAAACATTTAACGCGAGGACAACACTTTTGGCCAAGTGCTAGGAGGCTAATGGGTTGCAACAAAGGAGTGCAATGCCCCTAATGGAAGTTTAAGGTCAAAAGACCATATTCATTGGAGTTTACGGCCCAGGGGAGTAAGCTCCTGGCTGTAAACTCTAAACCAAGTCTTGAAATGATGCTTACAATTACTACAACTCTAGTGGGAATTTATTCAAGGCTTATACAAGTGTTTGGGCACCATATTGACTCCTTTAGGGAGTTTACGGCCCAAAGACCCTTTTCCCTTGGAGTTTACGGCCGTAAACTCCCTTGGGAGGGTGATTATGGTGCTTTCAAGTCTCTATAATAACTAGGAACAATTCTAGGCTTTTGTACTTGGCTTTGGAAGAGTTTAAGGCATCATTTGGTACCATTTCTTGGAGTTTACGTCCATAGAACCTTTTGGGCCATAAAATCCCTCACACATGGGGTTCTAAATGTTTTAGCTAGTCCATAACTCATCTAGGTACATGCCCAAATTGTCTCATGGCCTAAGGAAGTGTTTAGGGTGTCTTTTGACCTCTTTATGGGAGTTTACGGCCCAAGAACCACTCTTGGCTGTAAACTCCTCAATACTTGTGCTTTTCTTATGTTTTCTAGGTCCTAAACACATTAAGGTATTTTCCAAAAATAGAGTCCAAGCCTTTGGGGGTGATTAGGGCACTTTTAGCCCTTGAAAAAGGGGTTTACGGCCCAAGAGCATATCCTTGGCCGTAAACTCCTAAAACTATATGGTTTTGATTGATTTATAGCCTCTAATGTTCATACATAAAGTCCTTAACTAGTTGCCTAACAAGGAATTGGGACTAGATGGCCTTTAGGCCTTGTTTCAGAGTTTACCCCCCCAAGAACGTTCTTGGGCCATAAGCTCCCGGATCTTGTGTTTTGGACATGTAAATAATGTTATTAAGCATATTACAGGTATTTTAAACACATCTAGGGAAGTAGACTCACAATCTGGGATGAAAACCCGAAGATCCGTGAGAGAGAAATTGGCTTTTCTCTAAATGGAATTCAACTAATGAACCAATTTGGTTCAGAATTCTATTTATAGTCCTGAGATTTTTGGCAGAAAATATTTCTATTCTCGGAATGGATTCTAATGATCTAGGGTAATGGAATTACAGTGTTGCACAAAATCCTAGTGCAACCACTCTCCTAATATCTCTTTAGGTGTAAAACCCTGAAACTGCCAAACTTATATTCTAAGTCTGAATTTTCACTGTAACTGCTCTACTTCTATTGGATTGAAATGGTTTGATTAGAATGGAAATTTCGGGTTGTCACATAACCCCACCATAATATTAGCCTCACCATTTCACGCTATTGTTTTCATCATTTTGCTCGATCAGCATCGTCAGACCGCCACTGTTTCATCAACTTCATGCTGCCATATCAGATCCAACAATACCACCATCTATTGATTGCAAGAGGGAAGAGGGCCGATCTTCCACTTTATGTTACTTACAATCCTTCTTACTACTTTTATGCTAAGAATACCGAACAGGAAGAAATTAGAGCGATACACATGACTTACAGAGAAACACGTGCAAAAGGAAAGGTAAAAGGTACTTTTAAGTTGGAGTTAACCATAAAAATTAACGATGTTAGCAAAAATGATCGGTGCTGAAACATTTCAAAATTTTAAGGGTTATCCATATTCAACTCCTCAATAAGACTACCGATGATATTTTTTGCGAACCACAATGACCATTTATGTAATTTATCTAATTATAATATATATGAGATTACATGGTGTAAAGAGGATACAAAAGTGGGCCAAATATGACCCAATATATACAATACAGTAAATGGGATGAAATATGAGCCAATATATACAATACAATTATACGTATAAGATGTACACTAACAAAAAAAGGAAATTGACTTATTAGAGTTAGTATCTTTACATTTTGTTCACATTTTTTTGAAAAGGAAAATTAACTAACTTACTCCTAAATAACCACCTATGTCTCCATCGAGACTTGAGCCCATGACCTCTCATATGAGAGAGTCACTCCATACTGTTAGGTCATTGGCCATTTGGTAACTTTTTTCTATTTATATATGGGTAACTTTTTTTTTTCTACACATCTAGGTAATGAACTTGTTGGAGGTGTTCACATATAACCATTATGACCGACTGTAGCAAGGTAAAAGTTACATGGAATATACGCGACAAATATAATTATCTAGAAAGGTAATGAACTATTGATTTTGTTCACATTTAGGCAATTTTGTTTTTTGTTCACATCTAGGCAATTTTTTTGTTCACATTTGACCATCCAACTTGTTGAAGTTGTTCACATAATAACATTGTTTCAGAAATTTAAATCAGTAGTTAAAGTCTTTCATCTAATTTGTTGAAGTTGTGCACATAATACCATTATCTCTGAAATGGAGATACTTGGTTCGATCGGACACAAGAACATCATTTGTTTCTTAGGGCAGTTTTTGAAGCAGAGGATTAAACATTTGTTTTACGATTATTATCCTAATGGAAGCTTCAACTCACTTCTCTATGGTGCAGGTACTAGGAAACGAGGAGTAAAGTAGGAGACTATGTACGAGGTTATACTAGCCATGACTCATGCTCTCGCGTATCTACGTCATGACTGTGTGATCATAGAGATGTGAACGTCATGAATGTGTTATTGGGTCCAAACCTACAGCCATACCATGGTGATTTTAGGCTAGTTAGACTTGTTACGAAAGACCAAAACTAGAAACCACAGTTGGCTTCCACTCTCCCACTTATTAAATCTTGTGCCTAGTCTCCTACTATGCTCCTCATTTCCCAGTCCCAAAACAATGAAAGAGTGAGCTCAAGCTTCCATTAAGATAATAATTGTAAAACAAACATTTAATCGTTTGGTTCGAACCCACCCTAATAAACAAATGATGTTCTTGTATCAGATGGAACCAAGTGTCTCGATTTAAAAAACAATGGTATTATGTGAATAGCTTTAACAATTTGGATGGTCAAATGTGAACAACAAAAGAAATTGCTTAGATGTGAACAAAACCAATAGTTCATTACCCTCATGGGTAATTATCGTTGCCACATACGTGACATGTAAGTTGTAATTTGTTATAACCGGTCATAATGATCATATATGTGAACACTTCCAACAAGTTCGTTATCTAAATGTGTACAGAAAAAAAAAGTTACTCAACTGTGAGCAAAACAAAAATGTAATTATCTTGATAAATCAATTTCCAAACAAAAAAATGTCTTAAAAAATTGAAAGGAGAATGTTGTAATAAAAGTAAATAAGATTGAGATGCTATAATAAACAAATTATTAATAAAAGTCCATTGCTATTGTTCACATTTAGTCCAAATTATACACATGCATTGATCTTACATAAGTGTAGTTAATTCTAAAAAATATCTAAATCCAAAAATTACAGACCAAAGTGTTTAGTTGTTTGTCAAGTAAAAGTTGTTGTGGGAAGCTGGATGCGGTGATGATATCTTCGGCTTAGGTCTTGCGCTGGCAGACTTGGCCAACACCTTCATTCCTCTGCAGTATTTCATGTGGCTGTGAAGCTTCTCTGGATTGAACTGCCTACCACACTGCCTGCATTGATGACATCAAATATACTCATTTTCAAGCATAGTACAGAAGTCTAGTGCATTCTCATGGTTATGGGAATTGGTACTATACAAAAGATTTAATACTTCTTATGTTAAAAAGGTACTTCGTGGGGTGAACAATGACTATACATACACTTCTTGTATAACTTTAACTACTTAAAGTGAAATATATATACAAATTTTCAGTCTTATACACATATGGTCTATATACCTACGAAATTCAAAACCAAGTTCATATCCCTCCCCTTTTTGCAATGAAATCTAATGGGTTTTAAGGGTTTCTCAAAATATCTTCACAATTAATTCCATGTTAACTTTAAGACATAAAGGTAGGGTTTAATTTGGCCACAAAAATCAATCCACAATATACAAACTAAATGAACTTACGAGCAATTCGGGCCATTAATAGGCTTATGTTTAGCAGCTCCCGAGGTTTTGATGTTATTTGCTTCCTCCTTCTTACTCTTCTTTGATCCATTTATCCCATCAAAACTTTTCTCGTAACCCTTATACTTCTGCTCTTTACTTATTTGCCCCAAGTTGTTCTCAGAAACCGAAGTTACTGTAGAAGTCCTACCACCTTTCCTTTTGTTGATCGCCACCACAGCCTTTTCGTCCGTGTTAGCAGTCCCACACGTGATCCAGTTTCGCAACATATGTGATGCTCGTGAGCCTGAAAAACGACCTGATTTTGCAAACAAATAGAATGGTAATGCAGAAGCTTTCAAACAACTGTTTACACTTTTATTCCCACCTTTCTTGTGTTTATCGTTATTACTGTTGTTGCTGTCAACTGTATTCTTGTTGAAGAACATCTTGTTCAGGGAATTATTCTCATTTTTGTCTTTTGGGCGTTGTGTTATTTGTTGGTCTTCTGATGTGTCTTGATTCTTTGTTGTGTCTTCGGTTGAGACGTTAGAGACAAAGGAAGATTCTTCTATTTCAAAGGACGTATCTGTTGAGAAAACTAGAGGATCTTGTTTCTCGGTTGATGGGTATTTTGGGGATTTGACGTTTACTTCAAAAGTGGGCGAGTTTTTCAGGTCAAAGACTTCTTTCTCGTTGTATGGATTAATATCTGTGAATCAATCAGACGCTGAAAATGAGAAGAAAAGAAGGAGATTCGTTCATAACTCATCAATAATACTAGTGTTTTTTTTTTTTTTTTTTTTTTCATTCTATGGATCATGTATATTTATTTTTTGCTTGAACCAAAAGAGGGTGTGTTTTTCTATAGTTAAGTGCAAATGGTATTTTTGAGATTGGAAATATTATGTAAGTTATTAAAAGAGTAAGATAAAATTTACCATTATTTAATGTTGTTGAGGAGATTTCTGATCCTTTTAGAACATATTGATTGTCACAAATAGGGGTAATGAGATCGTCATCCAGTAGGTCTTGCCAAACGTATCCCCCTTTGTACATTCTGCATTGTTTAAATAAAAACAAATAGAATAGTAAATGAATGATTGTTTTAGTTTTATAATTATTAATTTTTCTTTAAACAATTATTAATATATTTTTTTAAAAGGCATTAATATTTTTATACAACTTCAAATTAATATATGTGATTTTGGAAACTTTAATGAACTTAGTAGAAACCAAGCTTTGTTATTTTGCCATACTAGCTAAAGTAATTGATAAGTGAAATCATAGTTGTTAGCTGAAATATTAGCTTTTACTTAATAAACTAACCGATAAAAAATAACATTCAGTAAAATCTTGCTGATAATGTAGTTTGAAAATATAAAATGATATAAAATGACATTTAGAAAAATATGTTTTTATAATTAGTTAAGGATATGTTTGAAAATTTTCAAAAAAGATTGTGAAGGGCCAAAAATGACAACATAAGCTATTTTTTAGTTTTTTCAAACATTACAACTTAAAAAAATTTGAAAAATAAGTTAGATATGACATCATAAACTCAATATTTAACAGTTATATAATTATTTGTTTTGGAAGTAAGAACAGCCACATATTGTTTTATTGCTCCTACAATATCAATTACATGTGAAAAATAAATATAATAACATTACATTAATAATATAATATTATATTTGAAAAACTTCTAATTATAGAACTTGCTAATTAACATGTTTGTTGAAAGAGCTTTGTTTTGAAAAAAAAGAAATCTCCAATAGAGCTTTTACAAAATATAAAGCTCCACAAAAAAACACATATCGTCGTTATGCACAGTGTACTAATTAATCAGATGTGTTTATTACATTCATCGGTTACTTAATAAATAAATAACCAAATCGATGTCCCCTTTGGCCTCTTTGTTTGAAATAATTCACTAATTTGTATAGAAATAAAAACGAACCTCTTGTATGACCAAGCAAAACATTCTGGCATGTCTTCTCCTCTGAGTTCTGATAACCAGCTTTTAACATCTACATAATTATAGTAACTTTTCAATAATCATTAAATTATAAGTTAAGACATTACGAATATTCCATCATCAATTTTATATATTCTTTTGTAATAGCAAACCTTAAAGAATTTTGAGTAATAAATTGGAAGAAAGTGCACAGTTACACAACGTAGTATATATTACCCATTATGCAACCGATGCATCTTAAAATACAATGTTTTGTTTATGAATTACTAACCTCTTAAGTAAACTCCATGATATGAGACTTGGTGGATGCGCATGAGATGGGGTTGCTCGATACCACCATTACGGCTAAGATAATATACAATATGGACTCTCCTTACTTGACCACCACCACCACCACCACCGGTGAGTTGTGCCACCATCAATTTTCTGCAATGGGGAGGGCCAAAGCAAGACAACAACAAGAAGCCAGACTTCCCTATTAGAAAAAAGTTAATAAAAATAACAAGAAAAGCTAGAAGACGTATAATATGGAAAGGATAATGTCGTTTGCCGGCCAAAAAAAGACAGAATTTTGAAGTCTTAGGTAGGCAAACATAGATTTAAGAAGGATCTTCTTTTCATACGAGATAAATTATTTTCACACTAAAAGACACATGTGACAAGACAAAGAACGCACCAACCTTATTGCCCAATCGTTATCCTTTTTTAAAATAATAATCTTTGCGCCCCATGTTTAACACGTCATACAAGAAAGGTTGATCTAAATTAGCGGCATCTCAAATGGCCTCTATACGAATCAAAAGCATTCTAGAGAGTTAATATTTCTCAAAATATTCTTCAATTAGTAGTATTAGTATAAGATATTCGAAAAAAAAGCTCGTAACTTTCTTCGGTTTCTACTGTTTTTCCATTTTTTGTAACTTTTTATACAGTTTTACTCCAAGTACGTTTATAATTAACCCCAAAAATATTTATAATTAACCTTTCTTTGAAGTTTTCAATCTTTTAGCAACAGACTTGATAGTTTTAACGAGGTGGCTTACTCAGCTCTCCAAAAAAAAAAAAATGAAAAATGAAAAGTAAATAAATCATATTTGACCTTTTGAAGCTACGTTCATTTGCAAAGTCCAGTTCTGCCATGATTAGCTTCACTGGTTACCAGATCAACCTTCTCTTTTTGTTTCTTTAATTTTTTCTTCCTGCATATGGTTATAACTAATTTTCAATCCAACAAAAATATATTCAGAGGGGTTGTTTCACAATTAAACTTATTAATTTTACTTATGATCCAAGTTCAATGATTGAAAGTAAATACAAATACCTACACATCAAACGTTAAACATTCATCAGGAATGAAACAAAGGAAGAAGGAAATATACCAATGATATTTGAACGAATGGACGAAAAAGTCTTACCTTCTCAAACCCCAGCCTTTAAAAGATCACAATCACTATTACACGATCAATTCTAATATTTGATGAAAATTTTTTGTTTGGAAGAAGGTTAATTAAGTATGGTTATATATATGTACACATAAATACAAAGAGTTAGTTGTGGGGTTTGATCAAGACAAAAGAAGGTTATCTGCAAGATGGTGATATCCACGCAGTTTGTAGAAAAGTCTGCGTGCCGTTTCAGCCCAGATGATTGTTTATAAGTTGGGTTTCGTTTTGAAGGCAATTGATAACCAAAAAAAGAACATGTAACCCATGAGTCATGTTTACTATGTAATTTATATATTTTATTATTGTTGGATCTTTAATAATCCGTAACTATTATATTGACAAGTTTTAAGCAGCAGACGTCACTTGTGCCAAGATTTTGAGGTTAAAAAACTATGAATTCATTTCTATTTGTCAATTTTAAAATTATATAAAGTATAGTTGCTAAGATTTTTCTTAAAGTAATGTAGATGACATAATATCTTCATTGAATTAGTATGGGTAAACAATTAAATTAAAATACAATATAAAAATAAAAAAAACCGTACCATCAAAACGACCTAGAACCCCTTACGGCCCATCACGTTGGTGATCAATGGTGGAGTATTAGACCATTCGTTATACCCACACATACGATATATATGGTGGGTGTCACATCAGCACCACATTCTCTACCTATCACTAAACACATCACTTCACCTCATTTTTTATTTAAATTTAATTCAAATATATATTAAAATCATTTTTTTAATACTAGTTTTTCCATTAAATTAAAATACCAAATTACATTAATTAAAAACTACATTAATTGAAATTAAAAAAATAAAAATAACAATAAATATAAAAATTACATTAGTTAAATTAAAAAACATTAAAAAAACTAAAAATTCCAACCATAAATAAAATAAACTACCCCCTACGCCTACGTCGGGCTCGAACCGACTCTTTCATCGCTTGGAAAAGTTCCAAGTCTTCGCCCTCAAGGTCGTCTGCTTTCATTTTCAAAATTTCCATATCGGTTTTTGTTTGGAGTGTCTCTTGTGCTTCTTGAAATGCTTATTGTGCTTCGATCATTTTTTGTTCCATCCGAGTCATCACCTCGGCCTTCGTTTCTTGAAGTTGCACATATCGATCAAATTTATCGCTAAACATATCCATAAGGGATAATGACTTAGGAGGGTAATAAAGTTTTCAGTTTGTCCGTATTTGGTTACTAAGGTTTTTTTGTGCGTATTAGACCAATATGGGTGTTATTGTCGTTTAGAAATAGTCGTTTTACCGGTTTTAACCAGTAAAAAGGACTATTTCTAAACGGTAATAACAACCATATTGGTCTAATACGTACAAAAAAAACTTAGTGACCCAATACAGACAAACTGTAAACCTTATTACCCTCCTAAGTCATTAACCCTAATTTTAAAGACATTAAGAATATATGACCATCAACAGTAAACTACTTTGTTTAGAACTCACGTCGTCCCATATAACCTGCTACTTCGCTATATAGCGAAGCTGTTCATCTATAGTCATCCCTTTGGGGACATCCGATAAAATTGGAACGATACAGTGAAGATTAGCATCACCCCTGCGCAAGGATGACACACACACAAATCGAGAAATGGTCCAAAATATTTTAACCCTTCGTCGTCTTCTCTAGAACCCTAATTCCCTTTTCAAATTCTAATAGAGTTCAATTGCAATTCTTATATTTTAGTAGTTCATCTACTGAAGTCATTATCAGACAACATGTGGATTCTATGGTCAAATTGATTTTCTTGTTGATGTCTTCAACCATTTGTGGTAAGTAAGGGTGATCTTTCTTTCTATAAAGTCTCCTTTAAGTTTTTTACTTTTCCTGTCATTAAGTTTCATGCTTTATAAACTTCCGTTTATGTGTTGTAGATAGTGTGTATGTGTTTGTTTATGTGCTGATTGTTTTATTCATTTTGCAATTTCAGTTTCTTAGTTCATGTTGTGGTTTTGCTTTTTATAAATAATTGATAATAGACATCCTCTACAAGTCCATGTTGGTTTTACATTTCCATTCGTTATCAACTGTAGACACTGATGGGAGGTATCAAAGTGAGATTGTTTTTGTACATATGGATGTGTTCATATAAACATTTAAAGAGTAAATTACACGAATGGTCCCTATGGTTTGGGGTAATTTGCAAGTTTGGTCCCTAACTTATTTTTTTAACTCGGAAGGTCCCTATTGTTTGTTATTGTTACACGATTGGTCCCTATTTTTTGTTTTTGTTACGTGTTTGGTCCCTATCTTACGTAAAAAGACAGCTATTTAAATTGGGAAAAAATTGTAGGGTGGGTAAGGTAAGGTGAGGGGATGGGGTTGGGGGTGTGTTTATTTAAATAAATTAAAAAATCAAGAGAAAAATAGACTTTTTATGTAAGACAGGGACCAAACGTGTAACAAAAACAAACAGTAGGGACCTTCCGAGTTAGAAAAATAAGTTAGGGACCAAACATGCAAATTACCCTAAACCATAGGGACCATTTGTGTAATTTGCCCACATTTAAATGACAAAAAGAAGTTATTGATAAAATGTTGCATATTTATGTAATGAAGATCATCAATCATATGAGTTTTTGGACCAATATGTCCGTATTAGGTCACTAATGTTTTTTTTTTTGTGAGTATTAGACCAATATGGTTGTTATTACTGTTTAGAAATAGTCATTTTACCGGTTAAAACCAGTAAACGGACTATTTCTAAACGGTAATAACAACCATATTGGTCTAATAGGCACAAAAAAAAAAACTATAGTGACCTAATACGAACAAACTGGAAACCTTATTACCCTCCTAAGTCATTATCCCTATCCATAGCACTAGAATTCGAAGATGTTGACGCCGCTTTTTTGCTTTATTTCTTCCAACGGGCCGACGAAGAGGTTGGTCGTTTTCAAGATCTATCAGATCGTCGTTGATGTCGACGTGTGTTCGGCCGTCCGATTATTGAGAAGTTCCATCGGGGTTTCTCGAACGCTTTGAACCGGAAGATTGGGAAGTTCCTTCCGTTTGCTCTTTCCATTTTGGAGCGTCTTTCAATTTTAGCCGCGGTTTCATATACGGAAATGTTTTGCGTGTTGGCGTTGCTTTTTTAAATTGGTCCATGGCCGCCTTGAAAACATCAAAATCGTTCGAGCCGCTTTTGCCTATGTTTAGGAGGTTGTTGTAGATTCCTCCAAACTCGGTGCATTTTAGTCGAATATCTCGCCACTTCGACGTAATTTGATCGGCATTTCGAGTTTCACTTTCCGTTAACTCGTAAAAAAATGGCTCAGACTTTTTCCCAAAAACTTCGGTAAGGCTGACTATCGCCTACAATTGGATCTTGGGAAGCCGTCACCCATGCCTCCGCTAACTTTTCTTCTTCTTCTTTTGTCCATGGGACCCTTTCTTGGGTGGTAGTGGGTCGGACCGTTTTTTTCCTTTTTTATTTTTTATTTGAGGTGGTGGTGAAGGTTACGTTTCCGCAACAAAATCCGACGAAAGTGGTGGTTGTGAAATTGGTGGTTGTTGTTGTTGTGACAATTGTTGTTGGAGTTGTTGTAGTTGTTGGAATTGTTGAAATTGTTGGTATTGTTGTGACATTTGTTGTTGTTGGAAAGACAGAAAAGGTTGATATTGTTGTTGGAACAGTGGTGTTTGTTGGATAGGGAACCTGTTTGAAGTAGATTGAGAAAACTGCCTTGAGGTGACTCCATAGTCGGGAATTATTGAGGTGTTGTATCTAACGCAAAAGCATTATCGGGTTTGCGATTTCTGTAGTTTGGAGGGGTATTTTGGTTGGGATCCATGATTTTTGGTTGTGAAGATGTAGTATGTAGTTTGTGTATAGAGAAAGAAAAGAATGGTGTAAAAAATAAGGAGTAAAAATGTGGTATTTATAGGTAAATAAATCGTTTATTTTTTATTTTTATAAAACTAGCCGTTCAACGGCTAGATAACGGTCCATTTATCGATCTTGAATCCCATTGGTTGTGCGAGTTCGTTGTCCCGATCACAACCCACTACGAAAACGAGTCACAACGAGACAACGAGGTGGTGAGCACGCCCGTTGTTCGTGGCCAACTCGACCACGAAGCTCCTCGTTGAAGGTATACCGTTTGGCCTTAGCATGACATCCAAAATGGAATTCTACATATCATCCGCTAGACACCGGTCAGAGATAGTAATTAATATGTAGTTTCATTGATTTATATCGATATCGATGTAAATGAATTCATATAGATATTTTTCCTTCTGTATTCAAAATTATACGATTAATGTCCAAGTCTTTCTTATATCTCTTATTTTTTCTATTCTATTCGAATCTCTTCTCTTTATTATAATAAATGAATAAGTTTATTCTACTATTGATAAATATCACAATATTCTAAATCCTCATTAATATTATATGTCACCTATCATGATATATGTCAATCTATTAATTTTCCATTTAAAATTTTTAATTTCAAATTCTAATTACATTAAATTAATAATTTATTTTTTCATTTCTTCATTTTAAATTTCACACTCTACTTATATTAAATTAATAACATTAGAATAAAAAATAAAATAAAAGTAGTATATATTATAAGGTGATATAATTTCATATATTTAATTAAATAAATGATTACAATTATATATAAGTAAAAAAAATCTGTTAGTTAATAATTAATTTAAAATAATTTATTTGAAATAATTGATTAATAATTTTGAGTTTTTACGATGAAAGTTTAGTTAATTTTATAACCGTGATTCTCACGTGTTATAAATTAGTAAAAAGAATAGATTTATTCTCTTTTTGCCATGTGTCAAACTATTAGTACTCTTAATTAATTTTATACCACTTGTCAACCTATTGATTACCACTTTAAATTTCAAATTTTTAATTCTCACTCTAGTTACATTAAATCAATATCATTAGAATAAAAATTAAAATAAATTAATACAGATTATATTGTCACGTATTTATTTAAACCAACGATTCTAATTTTATAAAACTAAGAAAAAATATCTTAATTAATAATTTATTTGAAATAATTGATTAATAATTTTGAGTTTCTTACTATAAAAGTTTAATTAATTATTTAACTGTGGTTCTCACGGGTTATAAACCAGCATATATATATATATATATATTATATTATATATATATAATATATATTATATATTATATATATATATATATATATATTGATGATGTTAGGTCTATCGGCATGACCTACAGCTCC